TTTCAATATCAAGATTTTTATTTTTAAATAATTTTTTTTTAATTTTGATTTTTTGGATCAAAAATGATCGATTGTTTGGATTTTGTTCAATCATTTTTAACCGGTTTAATTAAGACGGAGTTTTTATGACCGATTTAAATCTTTTGTGATCTTTAAAATTAAACATGAAAATAACGGTTATAATATGGTAAGAAAAATATAAATCTAATTTTAAGGGTTAATTTGTGCTTTTACTTATAAAATAAATACCAAAAATGGTCACCGGCGTTCTTAAATGGGTTGGATCCCAACCGCTTATCGATCGAAATCACGATTTAAGTAAATAGATGGGTGACCACAGTTTTGACCATACTAAAGAAAAATCCAAGCGTTTCAGGAAAGAAATTGGCAAGTGAGGTTGACTATGCAGGGTCTTTTATGGGTAGAACTAATAAATAAGTCAGTCCAAAGAATACGACCGGAAGGTAACGAGTTAAATGGCTGAAAATTTTTTTTTGGAGAATTTCGAATGCTTTATAATGAATGAAATGACGTATGTTTTAGCCGAGTTTTCCCTGCTTTCTAGGCAGGAATTTGAATTAACTAATTCTGGAGAAAATACAGTAGAAAAATTGATAGCTTAAAAGTTTCATAACTTCCAAAGGACGCTGCTGATTCGTGACATCGAGGGGTGCTTATAGACGAGAGTACTGCCATTCCTACGCTTACACATGAAGTTCCACTTTTTTTTTGGCCTTACCTCGCTTCATGCCACAACCGCACAACAGCCTTGGAGTTATTGCAAAGGGATAACACAAATTTTGTGTCGCCAACTATAACAAAAAAGTAGCCAAATGCTTCAAAAGAAAGTGATCTCCTCTAGCAACTGTAAGGGTGGCAGATACTGCCATAAAATTGCTAATGAGCTGGGTTCCAGAAAAAATAACATTTTTTATAAAAAGCTAATATTTAGTTTGTGTTTTCTGAACATTTAATGTCAGGTACCGAACATAACAGTTATTTATGTAAGCTGTCATTGAAAAATTCACTATGAAGGAAATGTCCTACAATTTTAAATGATACATATCAATCGAATTCTTTTTTTCACCGAGAATCAAATTTATAAATACACGTTTATTTGTAACTTTTATGCAATATTAAAAAAAAATAACAATTATTTTTAATTTTTATTTTCTAGATTCAAAATAACAATTATTTTTTATTTTTACTAAATAATTTTTAAATATCCGTTAGTTTTGATTTAAGTATTAAATGTCTTAGACAACAGTTATTGAAGACTTGTATTTATAAGAGCCATCAATAAAAATCAGTCACCGACTGTTATTTTTTAAGTCATACATATAAAATTCATTATCATTTTTCGCAGTTAAGAACGACTTATAGAAATGACTTTTATAAGTATAATTTTAAAAATAAAAGTCAGTGACTAATTTGCTTTGATAACTTTTATAAATAAAAGTCTTCAATAACTGTTATCTAAGACATACAATATAAAAATCAATAATAACTGCTAATTACAGACTTTTTAGATAAAAATCAAAAATAATTGTTATTTTGGATTTATAAAATTAAAATCAGAAAAACTGTTATCTAAGGAATAATTAAATAAAAGTAAAAAAAAAATAATTCTTAAAGAGCGATTTTTTTAACAAAAGTTGTAACTGTTACGGTCTCTGTTTTGTGCGCATTTGTTGTTAATTGTACTGGTTAAAAACATATCCAAATTTTTTTAGTGGGCAATTTTATTTATTTTTCTATTTATTAATATCGGAGCGGGCAGACCCCAGCACCTCTCTTTTTAAAAATGCGAGTACCTTGCTGATGCCAAGTCGGTAAAAACTACCCAAAATTGCGCCCAAGTATGTCAAAGGTTACAAGAGAGTACATATGTATATACGGTGACAAGAATGTAAATAAGAAAAAAACATTTTACCAAGTTTTCACTACTTTTATTTGTATAAAAACGTTTATTTTATTTTTTTTAAATATACATAAAAAAAGTCGAAATTTTTAAATTTGTGGAAGATTATAGAACATTAAAAAAAATTCGACGAATTTCAAAAAAATCTTGCTCAAAATTTTCAACATTTTATTCAGATTTCTTACATATATTTTGATTATAGAAGTTTGTTAGAAGAAGTAAGAGGCTCAAACCAGATTTCTCAAATATGAATTACATGTTTTTTTTTTCAATTTTTAGTTGACTATGTCTCAGATTTGACCATTTAAAAGGAGGTCAACTTCGAAAGCAACATTTTTTTTTTTTTTTGTAACCTAGACTAAGCAGAACGTTTTACCAGGCATGTTGCAATATTAGTAATTTTCTCTAAGTGAAAAATAGACTATGTGTATTTATCTATTTACGAGAGGATGATACTTTAATGCTATTCATCAAGCAGATCTTTCACTAACTTAAGTATATTATGAGTATTTTTCAATTGGAATTGTTTTTTGTTGCAGAATTTAATATCATCGCTATTTTGCTATTTTGTATCCGAAATTAAGCAAACAATGCTATCAGAGAAAATAAATTTCAACAAACTTATGGTTATTTCATTTAACACTTCATGCCGGATGTTTGTGAACAAACCAGTCCGACAATAATTGTTTTTTTATCGACAATATCACTGCCACCCAGCTACCAAGGGGCGGTCCAATCCATCCAAAAATGTCACCAACTTGAGAATAAATGTCGAACTGTCGAAGCTAATCAATCAACGCATGCCTCTAATCTGATCAGCTACTACACATATGTATGTACATACTTATGTACATATGTGCGAATACATTACAACAAAGAAAAGGCAAAACAACTAGAACAAACTATTCTTTAAATGTTGTTGGCTTATTAAACACGTTCTTGGTGAACGCGATAATCGAACATGCATTGTAGAGCAATTTACGAGTATTGCGCACCTCCCTAACAACGAATGCGTGTTTTGCCTTTTAAATGCCACATTCTACCGCAGCTCGATGCTCAAGGGATTGCAAGTATGTAGTACGTATGTATGTATGTATAACTTTCGCCCCGGGTAATTGCAAAAAGCGCGCACGTTCCGAAACTGAACGATCTCCTTACAATGGTTTTCAATTAAAATTGCAAATGTAGCGGGCAGACAGGCATCGACGAACGCCTTTTTAGACTTTCCGCCTGCCGTCGACGGCATAAAGGCATGCGCACCAGCAGCACTTGGTGGGGGTGTCTGCGGCGGCATGATACTATTCGCCATGCCTGCCTCCATGTCAGGCTCTGACTTAAGCAATTAAAATAGTGTTGATTGCATTGCTGACGTTACTTTTGAAAACAACAATAAAAGCAATACTAGCTAAGCGCTCGCACACTTTTAGCTATCGACGTGTGTAATATTGTGTGCTATGTGCGATGTGTCAGTAATTTTTAATTTGATACATTATCCGGTAGTTGCACGAATTGATAAAATATCAGTCAGCTGCCTGCTTTCCAGCCTGCCTGCCTGCCTGCCTGTCTGCCTATTTGGGTTGTAAGGGGGGGTAAGTCAGCTACAGATGACGGCAAGCTACTATAAATCTTACCCTTTACGGTGTAACTTTTGTACTTTTTGTTCACTGAGTATAGTTGTCACGTTGCTTTTTATAGCTCAGCTACGAATGTTTGTGTTGAAATTACATTCCACTGTGTTTTGCAATTGCGCATTGAAATAATTGCACTCATCATAGCCCTAATAAGGTTCTTGTGCTTGATTTTCGTAATTTATTATATAAAGTGCATTAAAAAAATGTTTTTGTAAAAAATGTATAGACATTATGCTCATTAAAGTGTAGGTGGCAGCTTGAATTTAGTTATACAAAAGACTTAAAGCACGAACTTGACTTCTGCTGAATTTTTTACATACAAAATTTTCTTTAAGTGGCAGTTTTTGAAAAAAAAATCAGGATTGACATATTCTTCTTCTTTTTTGGCGCTGTAACCGCCTAAGCGATTTTGGCCGA